TAGCGTGTTGTAGTAGCTCTCCGAGACCCCACACGCGTATCTGACGTCCTCCAAGAACCTCTGAGCCCAGGGATTCGTGTCGGTCCTGAGTTTGTCCTCGACTTCGTTTGTCTCGAACTCGACCCTCCCGAAGAGTGCTACGATCAACTGCCTGTGATTGCTAGGGGAGCGGAGGATGTTTTTGAACCACCCGAGTCGGCGCACCAGTGCTTCCTCCGCTGGCGGCAATATTTGCCAGTAGCGAAATACTTCCAGCGTGCTAAGGCTCCGCACGCTGCCGTCTCTGCGACGCGTGGCGCCTCCTCGCATGGCTCGCCGAAGTAGTGCGCCCATAGCGCTCTGAAGCTGCTGGTGCTCCCTGGGCGCCGGCAAGAAGCATTCGATGCACGAGAGGCCTGTGTTGATCACCCTGCAGATGAGGACCGCTCGCTTCCACCTGTATGGTATATGCCCTTTAGTCCAGAAGCTGCCACATTCGCTGTAACTCTTTTTCATGGCCGCGATGCGCTTGTTGAGTTCTGCCCCGTAGTTCTGCGTCGGGCTGATCTGCGGTCCAAGATATCGTGCATGAGGAACAACTTTGCCAGGTAGCTTGCAATCGGGCTTCGTCTTGAGCTGCTGGTGTGCTTTGGCCGTTCCTTGTCCCTGGAAGTAGACGATGTTCTCCTGATTGTCTGTGTTCTGGCGCATCCCGATCGTGTCAAGCCTCTGGTTGAGCGCGTTGTCCACTTTGTGTGCCTGCGCTGCCAGATCTGCTGCGTCTGCGCGCTTGTCGCCTAGGATGATCTTGCGAAGGTCGTCCGCATACTTAGCCAGGCCCAAGTAAACTGGATGTTGAAAATCTCACAGCTCCCAAACAACAGATCATCGTTCTTTAACTCTTTGTTGCAGTCCTCTATCCAGTCCTTGATGCACGTCGAGAAGCTGGCCACGAAGTTACTGACCATGTACGGGTCTCCAATCAGTCCTCCACAGTGTGGTTTGATGCATACTCCGTCCTCCTGATCGCGACATGGTATGACAAACGTAGCTCGTCGGTATCGCTGAGTACCCAACTCAGTAGAGTCCTCTGGCATGATCTTGTTGTTGGCCTCGTCCATGGCCGTCCACGCGCAGCTGGCAAAGGCGTTCGACATGTCCTTCGTCGTCGTGATGTAGTTGAAGCCTGCCTGTCTTGCCCGATACTCGACGACCGGCATCGCCAATCTGGCTCCTTCTCGTCGTCGTCCTCTGATGAAGCCGTAGTCCTGGTCTGTGTGATTCTGAGCCTTCTTTCGAGCCATGCAGGACGAGTAAAATGCCTTGCCAATCGGGTCCATGATGTGGTATATCCTTTTTCCTGCAGGGCCAGCTTTGTTGTTCTTCTTTACTGCCGTTGCCGCGCTCTGATGCCATCGTACTGGAAAGGTCTCGAAATCTTTCTGGCTGAGGGAGTGGCTGTAGTGCCCCCCAGTCCTTGTCTTTGCTGTTGAGGTTGTTCGTCTGTCTGACAAAGTAGCACTCTCCATAGCTCGTTGGGGGCCGCTGACGGTGGCGCCGCACGTCGGAGTTTAGCCTTTCTTAACCGTTTTGCAATGCCCTCCATATCCTTCTCCACAAGTTCTTCTATGTCATTATCGTAATAGTCAATTTCGTCCGCGTCGATGGGAGTCAGTTCGATATCTTCTCTATTTAGTTCTGTGCCTTCCATGCCTCCTAATCCTCCTGGGGGCTGCCAGAACTCGGTCCACTCTTGCTTCGTGGGGTTGGCCGTGACCACCGTCCAGTAGTCGCGCTTGCGTGGTCCGTATCTTCCACCAGCAATCAATCGTGAGAGTCGGCCCACGCGTGCAAGATCTCGTCGTTCCCATGCCTCGCACAGCTCCTCCACCCTGGCGTCCGTCTTCCGCTTGTACTCGAGTTTGCGCCAGGCTGCACAGGTAGCAGTGATGTTCTTGAGTTCGGTCTCGATGTATTCCAGTCTTAGGCGGCGGGGATCGTGTTCGTCTTCTGCTCCTGGCTGGTCCGAGTTCTGCGCGTAGGGGTTGTCGGTCGGATCTTCCCGTGGGATGTAGTCCACCTTGGCTGTGTCCAGCTTGGTTGAGTCTGCGATCGTGATGAGCAGGCAATCCCCTTCGCGTCGTAGTAGCTCTCGAAGGTCTCTGCTTTTTCTTAATAGTTCCATTCGTCTGTCTCTTAGTATCTGGTACTCTTCGGGTTTCTGTGGTCTCTGTCCATAATACTGCTGGGCCGTTTCGATAATCATCTGATTCAGGTCCTGGAACAGCTGGTCTATGCCTTTGCCGTGCTCGTTGTAGTTCTCGATCTTTCCTTCCAGGTCCTGGATGAATAACTCTGCGTGTAGTCCCTTGCGCGCTGCCGCTGCCAGTTTGTCTTTATCCCATCGTGCTATATGTTGTCGGGCTTGCACTCTTTGTCGAAGCGGAATGCGCACTGTGAGCTGCACTGGGACGTGATCACGATGTCGTCGGCTTCGAATGTGTTGCAGCCGTGTGCCCATGCGGAGGAGTGGTCCTTGAGAGATGATGCTGTTGGCCAGTGTCGTCGGCATCATGATGTAGTCAATGCAGCTGGCCGTCGTTTCCCCGAAGTATGTGGGTCTCCATGTGCCCGTCGTGTTGGTGACTGTCAGTCCGTGTCGCTCCGCGTACTGTCTGGCTTTGTGTCCCGCTCCGCCTGGTAGTTTTTTCCTTCGCCCTGCCCGCTCCGAGCGAGTCGCTCATCGGGTGCTCGTTCTTGCACGTGATGCCTATGCCGTCGTTGAGGTCCCCCGCCACGAAGAGTAGGCTGCCCCTGGGGCGTTTGGTTGCTACCTCATCCATCCATTTGAATAATCTCGCCACCGTCGCGAAGTACTGCTTGCGGTCTGCTGTGGTCTTGGGCTGCGGCGGGCAATAGTATCCGACGATCGTGATCTGGGTGTCGTACTGTACGAGTTGTAGTGCGAGGCCTCTGCCGCAAAGTTCTCCTGGAGGTTCCAGAACACTGGTCACCTGCGCCCCTCTTAGTTTGCCGTGGAGCGCTATCATCATGCCCGTGCTGCGATTAGTGAGTGTTCCCGTCCTCCAGCCTGCGTCGTACACTCTGGCTCCCTGAATTCGACGCTGTTCTGGATGTGGTTCTCGGCGCCATCGTTGAGTACCTGCGAGGATGATGACGTCGAAGTTGGCCGCTTCCTCTATGATCTCCTGCTGCCTGTCGGGTTTCGCGGAGAGCGGGTTGAATAGCAGCAGGGCCAACGACGCTGTCCATGCCGTTGCCGCCATGCGGGCCTCTGTCCAGCTATTCCTGATTCCACATGCTGTGGAATGGCGGTGAGCGTTTGTCTGCTGCCCTGACAATCTCTTGGGTCCAGATGGCAGCTGGAGGAGGAGGAGGAGGAGGAGGAGGAGGAGGACAAGGGGGAAGAGGAGGAGGAGGAGGAGGAGGAGGAAGAGGAGGAGGTGGAGGAGGGGCGAGGAGGAGGAGGAGTAGGAGGAGGAGGAGGGGGAGGGGGAGGAGGGGGAGGAGGACGCGACGTGCAGAGTATGGGGTGCCACCTGTGCAGCCAATAGACGGGTTCCAATTCTGCGCGCATGTTGGGACGCCAGCCACCGCACGAGGCGGCCACGGGCTGGCCACCGGCCGAACACCCCGAAACCCCAGAATCATCACCACTGAGATTACCCATCGGGAAGACGTAAGGCTCGGGCACGGGGGGCTCGGGCTGGTCCGACGGGGCCAGCATGAAAATGAGGAGGCTCAATCTGGAATTTGACGCGGGCTCCTGCCGCAAACGTCCCACGAAAACTGGAGCGTCAAAATCGGGGACGCGCTCGTCCAAAAACTTCGGCAAACCCGAGCTCCGGCCCAAAATCCCGCGCTGGGCACGAGGCACGGTCGCCACCGTGACCACCGGGGGGTGGAAGCGAGGGCGGGGGGGGGCACAAAAACGGCAGTTTCATGTCGTGCCGACTTCGGCGCTGGTTCCTGACACCGCGGGGATCGTTCAACCTTGGACAATCGGCCGTTTCCGAAACGTCCAGATCGTTCCACATCGAATGATTCTAGGTCCCCCGCGGCGTTCAAACTTGAACGCTGGCGGCGTGGTCGACGCCGGTCGACACGACGCGAGCCTACCGTGACGACCGTCACGTGCCAGAGGATGTACAAGCGAGCTCCTGGCACCCTCCTCCCGTACAGTCGGACCTAGGGCAGAAGAACATCCACATCATCCTTCAAGAACATGAAACCCTCCGCCTGCCAAAACACCCAAGCCACTAAGATTAAGTCGGGCATGTCCCTCATACAGGCGGATTTTGGACGAAACATAAAGAAACAAACAATACTCAAACATACTGAACAATAGTGAACAAATCGTCCCCAGAACATGACTTTTACTATTTTTGAAGAATCCTCCTGTAGAATGACCGGCCCGACTTAACACTACGAAAATTGAGGCACCCTCCCCGAACCGACCTCGATCTTACACCTCGGTCCGACTGTGGGCCCCTGCCTCCTCCACCCCACCCCCTCAAGATCGGCCCCTAGGCTTATGTTGCTCCCATCGTACTTAAGGACCAAATCCCAGAAATAATTTCGAGCACCCGGAAAAGTGTCGAAACAGTGTCGAAACAGTGTCGAACGACTGTCTCCCAAAGTCCGACACGTGAAAACCCTAGAGTTTCGTTACTTTTTTGGTGCTCGAAATCCTTTCTGGTGATCAATGCTAAAGTAGGCTGGGCCTGCTCAAAGGGCGCCCTCTCGCCAGCACCTCTGCAAAGGACCTCACCGAGGCGGCGAGAGAAGGCTCTCCCGCAGACTGGGGAAGGGTGGCGACCGCCAGAAAACCTCGACGACGGCGACGAACGACGTCTACGGACGGCGACGAGCGCTGACGACGACCGACGAGCGCTGACGACGACCGACGACGCGCGGTGATGACGACGACCAACGATGACAGACGACAACGACGACGACCACGACTGCTGACGACGACCGACGATCGCGACGACGCCCGCCTACGCGCGGCGTCCTCCGGGGCCGCTTGCGCTGGCGAACCCAAGGCGCCTCGGCGCTGGCGCCCTCGGTGGGGGGGGCAGGGGGGTGTTGCGGGGGGCAGGGTGGGACGACGCGGCGGGGAAGGGGGGAGGGGGGAATGGGAGGGGGGAGGGGGGAAGGGGGGAAGAAGCCAGGGAGTGTGGGGGGGGGAAGGAACGCAATGCCAGAGCGCGCCAGAAACGCCGCGGAGCACCGGGGATCCCCGGAGATCCGCCCTGCCCAAGCCGCCACGGAGCGCCTTCGGGGGCCTCTGGTGGGCCGTTTGGGGGCGTCTTGGGAAACCCTTGGGGGGCCTCTTGGGGGCTTCCTGGGGCTTGCTTGGGAGCGTCTTGGAGGCCTCTTAGGCCCTCCCGAACTCTTCTCGAGGGCGAGAGCTCGAGGTGTCCGTTCGGGTCCCCCTGCTAGGCGCCCTCTCGGAGCCAACTTGGGTGCCCCTTGGCATGTCCTGGGGGCTTTCTTGGGACCTGGGACCCCCCGGGGGGGACTCGTATCTGGGTGGCGACCCCCCCCCGGGACCCCTGGGGGAGTCGTATCTGGGTGGCGACCCCCCTGGGATCCCCCCTCAACGATCAAAGGGAAGGGGCTTCCCTTCGACTGAAATCCGCCGATCTGGCGTGTGAGTTTCTGAGAGCGTGGACTTGAGCTCGCTCAAGCTTCGCTCTGCAGGGGGGGGCACCTTATTTCCGACGTCATTTCCGACGTTTTTCGGTACACGGGGAGATCCTTCCGAAGTCATTTCCGACGTTTTTCGGTACCCAGGGACAGGGGGGTATAGAAAGCTCCACTTCCGAAGCCCCGACCGCCCAAGACAGCCCAAGATGAAGCCAAGAGAGGCCCCAGAGGCCCCCTAGACAATGCAAGAGGGCCCCGAATCGCCGAAACATCATCCTCATCATCCTCATCATCCTCATCATCCTCATCATCCTCATCATCATCATCATCATCATCATCATCTCATCATCATCATCATCATCATCATCATCATCATCATCATCATCATCATCATCATCATCATCATCATCAACATCAACATCATCATCATCATGATCATCATCATCATCATCATCATCATCATCATCATCATCATCATCATCATCATCATCATCATCATCATCATCATCATCATCTCGCTCTCACCCCCCCAGGATCGGCGGCAAGGGCCGGAGGCCAGCCCAATACGACGTTGCTCAATTTCGCGTTGGCCGGCGCGCTTGAGGAGGGCCCAGGAAAAGGAGGGGAGCGGCGACGGACCCAGGGAAACGGGGGCCGCAGGGAAAGGGGACGACAGATGCGACGACTGACGACTGACGGAGACGACGACTCGAGTAGACCAGCCCCTCCTCACACACGCCGACAGGGCTCGACGGATGTGTTCCTGGCCACAGCGAGCCTGGGCCACGAATACAGTAGGGGCCCGACCACAAGAAACCTTCCACAAGAAACCCAACCCTGAGACCCCAGGACGTTCACTGATGTTTGGTGTGGGAACGCCACGCTTTCCATCGCAAAACCATCGAGCCCCAAGAAAACAAGGGCACCCCGGAGGCAAGCAGGGTGTTTCCTGGCATGGGCCCCCACTGTAGGTTCCCCGCGACCCAGCTCAAAGAAACAATCCGACAGCCTGAGCCCCTTTCTGAGCCCAAGTGGTTCTTGTTCAAGCCCTGGTCGCAGGACTACCGCGGGATGTTTTAGGATCCGCACGCTTTCGATGGCCATAAGCACTCAGGAGAGACAGAAGTACCACTACCACCAGCTAGGGGGGTAGCCGTTCCCTCCCCTCGAGCTGGTGACACCTCCTTCCAGGAACTCTCTGGAGGCATGCCTGGAACGAGGCGCCACCAGCTCGAAAGGGTGGGACAGTCACCCCCATAGCTGGTGGTGTGGTACTGTTGTCTCTGGTGAAGCACTGACGATGGCCCACTGTGCCACCGCACACCAACCTGCTTCATCAAACCCTTTACAAAGTCCAAGATGTTTGCGCGGCAGGCCAGCCTGCAAACCGACAGGCAGGAGAGCCCAGAATCGAATCGATGTCGGATCGGCGATCGGAGTGAATGAGATCGGCGGAAATCGGCAGCCGAGTCGGGGAAATCGAATCGGTGGAAATCGGCAGGCTAGTCAGCCTCTATTGAATCCGCCGACCCGTGGGGTCACAACGTGTGAGATGCTTCCCCTCCCCAAACCCCTCCCCCGGGAGCCCGGTCCAGCCGGTTTGGAGAAGGGGGGGGGGGGTGCAAAGGTGTCGGCCGCACCCTTGGAGCCTCATGGGGGCCCAAAACGCCAAAGGGGCCCCACCAAAAGCCTCCCGGGACGGTCCAAGAGGGCTACGAGTCGCCGAAAGATCGCTCCAAGACGCCCAAGATCGCCTCCAGACGGTCCCAGAGGCCCCCAAGACGCCCCAAGAAGCCCACCAACAGGCGTCCCAAGAGGCCCTCCAGAAGCAAAAACCGTCACATTTACTGGGGAAAACGTATATGTTTAGCACATTCGCCTCTTGGGCTTTCACGAGGCCCACAACGGTCCAAGAAGCCTTTAAGATCGACCCAAGATAGCCCAAGAGGCCCCCAAGAGGGCTCCAAGACGGCCCCAGAGGGCCCCAAGACAGCCCCAGAAGCTTCCAAAACGACCCAGGAGGGCCCCAGGACGGCCCCAAGAGGAGGCCCAGAGGGGGAACCCGAATGAACATTTCGAGCACTCGGCTCCGAAAAAACCTGAGGCGCCAATAGGCCCCCAAGAAGCTCCCACGAGGCCTCCGAGAGGCCCAGAAGAGGCTCCTAGAGGCCTCAAAACGGCTACCAAGAGGCATCAAACGTGCTGCCAGGACAGCCCAGAGAAGCCCAAGAGCAGAAGGGGGATCCGCCAACCGCCCCCGACGAAATCCCAAGAAGCTGAACCCCCAAGATTCCCCAGAAATCGTTCCGCAAACTCCGTTTTTCATTCTTACTGCCGCCCCAAAGCGTCGGCGGTGCGGCGTCAACCAATGAATAAACGGAATCCATATCGGAATCCCATATCGACTCGATTCGGAATCGGAAACCAACGCAATCGAATCGAAACGAGCCCTGGACAGGAGCGCTTCGTCACTGCCTCAAACCTTCGAGTAGAAGATTGGCTACGTAATCTATGTATCTAAGAATTGGGATGTCCGTAGGGTCTACGGAGCACTGCGTACAACTAGAGTGTATCTACAAAAAAATGTATACGGTTGTGTTCAAGATCAGACGGAACAACAATGTTGGGGTAACTCAGTTATGCAGTCGACCTCCTACTCGGACTCCCCTGAGCCTCCCTGCTCGGAGCCTGCTCCTGCCCTTCAGGATTGGGTGCGCCGACGCGGGGGGCCAAGAGAGTACTACCCCCGAGGCCTCTGCACGGTCTGGGGGCTGCCAGGAGACGCACTGAAAGAAGAGGCGGGCGCTGTGACATCTGGAAGATTTCATGGCCCCCGGCCAAAATATCCACACACGCGCACTTTCGCACACACACACACACGCACACAGTTGTGGGCGGTCACGCCCTCACGCGCAGCGTCGAGGCGGAGAAAGGTCAGACCTGGTGCGCGCGCAGCGAGGCCCGCACACGCACACACAGACACACACACAGAGACACACACACACACAGAGAAACACATACAGACACACACAGACACACAGACACAGACACACACACAGACTCAGACACACACAGACACAAACACACACAGACACACGCAGACACACACACACACACAGACATACACAGACTCACACACACACACCCAGTGCAAGCTCCCTAAGCGTCCATTCAGACGTCCTTGCAAGCGTCGCTGTAGGCTGCCCCGCTATCTGGGTGCCCGATGCCACAAGTCATCGCATGGAGGTCCACCAGGGAAATACAGATTGCCAAATTCGAGTTCATCACGCAAACACACAAACACACACACACACACTACACACTGTGTTTTGGCGATCGCGGCCTCGCGCGACGCGACGCGGCGAAGCAAGCCGAAGGCTGTGGGGACGGGCGCAGGCGGCCGGGCCCTCGAGCGGGATGCCACATCCCTACGCACACACACACACACTTTTGGCGTCGGCGGCTGGCCGGAGGTTGCTGCTCCGGCGATCGGGCATCAGTGGGGCGCGCTAGTCAACTTGGACCGGGGTGCGCGGTGGAAGAGGAGAGGACGTCCGGCGCAGCCACACACACACACACACACACACACACACACACACGCGCGCACGCACACACACACACACACACACACACACACACACACACACACACACACACACACACACACGCACGCACGCACACACACACACACACCTCCAGTCCACCCCCCCCCGTCCTCGCCGCCCCCGACGCAAAAGAGCGGCAATTCCCCCACCCACAACGCCCGAACAACGCCCCGACCCCCGCAGAGATGCAAGAAAATATTGTTTCGAAATCGGCGACGACGGAAACTGCAATTCCGCCTTGAAGCCCGCTGCAACCATGAGCGCGGGTCCATGGGCGCGGGACCGAGGCGCCACGATCGGGGGAGAATGGCTCAAGGGGAAGACATCGAGGTGGAATCGGCGATACTTCGCCGATAGCCCGGCGATGTGTTGCCGATGGCGAAGCCACAGGCTCCTGGGCGGGATGGGCTGTAAAGCCTCCCTCGGCGATGAGAGGGCGATTTTGGAGGCCCGAAACGGGTGCGGAAAAAGTGGGTACAATGCCTGAGAGCAATGTTGTCCAAAACCGTCAGCGGCCGCTGTTGGGCAGGCGGCGTTCTGGCTTCAGTGAACAACGTCCGCGGCGGCGCGGACAGCAGCTCCTATTCGAAATGAACAGGAACTGCTCTTGGATATCGTACCAATCCTCTCCGTACCCATTTCGATCGTCCCGAGCGAGTGGGGGACGACGCATGTCCCCCCATGATTGTGGATGCTGTGCCAAAGGACACCCTAACAATCCTGCCTATCATTGAAATATAAAGGTGTTTTAATGTAGGAGTTATGTTCTAAACAAACTTGAAGCATGTGTTTTACATGTTTTAAACATGTTCAAAGACCTGTTTAGACATCTGGAAATTATTTGGCAACCTGCCTCCTCTCCATTGATCGTCGTCCACAAACCCGTTAGCCCCGTCCCCAAGCCCAGCCCCCTGGCGCTGCCCCCACGGGCGCAGGTCCATCAGCGCGGGGCGCGCGGCGGCGGCGGCCTCCTCGCCGGCGCCCATGGCGTAGTGCGCGGCCTCGTCCGCCGCGAGGCCGGCGGCGGCGGCCGCCAGCTCGCCGGCGGCCGCCGGGCCAGACTGCGGGAAGGCGGGTTCGGAGGCATGTCTTCGTCGGAAGGGATGAGGAAGCTTGAGCCCCATTGGGGGGGCTGGTCTGGCGGATACTCTGTGTCCCTCAATACCTCTGGGGGTACCTGTCGTCCGGGGAGGGTACCGGTAGTCCAAGTCGGGGGGGGGGGTACCTGTCTGGGGTGGGGTACCTGCAGTGCAGGGGGTATACCTGTAGTCCCGGTCGGAGGGTACCTGCAGTCTGGGGGGGAACGCGTGTTCACGCGTCAACGCACGCGTGGATGTAGTCCTGGAGGGGTGCCTGTAGTCCGGGGGGGTACCTGGTCCGGGGGGGGGTACCGTAGTCCGGGGGGGTGTACCTATATAGTACGGGGGGGGTACCTGTAGTCCAGGGGACATGTACCTGTAGTCTGGGGGGAGGGTACCTGTAGTCTAGGGATTACCTGTAGTCTGGGGACCCAGGGCTATTGGGACACAGAGTAAAATCGGATTTCGGGCCAGGGCAAAGTCAGAATTGGGCCTCCCAGGAGTTACAGCGGACGCGCTCTTCCGGCGACTGCGAAGTGACGTCGCTGTCGCGCGAAATCACAAGCGGGCCGCATGATGGCGATATCCGCCAAGGCTGCGTGTGGTGGAGGGCAAACCGTAAGCCTGAACCGCCGTGTGCAAGGTGAGGCTGCTTCGATTCCCGAGTGGGACGAGGCGCGCCCGCTGTGGGGAAGAAGGGCCTACACAAACGCGCACCCGCACGCGCAAACTTTTTCCTCTGCCCGCGATGTGGCACCACTGAGTATCGTTTATCCGATCCCCATCCCCAGCGGCGTGGCCTGGGCCCCACTGGCCGATTTGCCCCCCTAGATGGGGATTCATGCCGTTCCCTTCGGGTGTCGAGGGGTGTATCCCCAACTGGGGGGTAATTTGGTGGGGGTCTCGAAAGGGATGGGGGTGGGGATGGGGATCGGCTGAACGATACCGAACCACAGGCACGATTGAATACGCACGGGGAGCGATCGTTTTGGTTGCACCCAAGATTGCGGATCGGAGCGGCGCGCGCTCGCGCACGCACGCGCACGCTGCTGCAAAGCGACAGCGCGACTCAGGATGGCGTCCAAGTCGGCCAACATGGACCCGTCTGGCCGCCGAGACGACCCAAACTGCCTTCCACGACTGCCAGCATGGAAAAAAGAGAGGGCCTCCAAAAGGCCTTAGATCCGGTTCCAGGACGGCCCCAGATAGTCCCAAGGGTTCCCACCAGGGGCGTCTGACAGGCCTCCTCCTCCTCTTATATTATTGTCCCTTATAAGTAACCCCTCCCTGTCGCACCCTGAGGCGTGTCGGTAGGGCAGGCCGGGCGCTTCGCCTGAGACTTTCTCTCCACGTATGATCCTGGAGCTCGTAAACATTACAACAGCTTCTCGGATGGAGGCGGGTGGTTTTCAAAATGTGGCTATCGCCCTATCGCCGCGCAGATTCGTGTGAACAGTTTACAACCGTTTCACGGGTGGAGGGCGGGCCGCTTTCCAAGTGTGGCTCTCGCATTGGCGCCGCGTGCATTCGTTCTAAGGGTTTGCGGAAGTTTCAAGCATGGAGGCCGGCTCCTTTTCAAAATGTGGCTCTCGCATTAGCGCCGCGCACACTCGCTTCGAACGTTTGCGAAAACTTCACAGATAGAGGGCGGCAAGTTTTCAAACTATGGCTCTCTCGCCCGAACGCCGCGCATATTCGTCTTCAGAGTTTTCAGTACATCCACGGATTCGTGCGGCTGATATCCCAGAAATGTTTTGGAACGAGGGCGAGGTAGTCACGCTGATTTGGTTCAGAACCGTCAAGACGCAACAGTAAAGTTGATTCGCGACTTTGCGGTCCCAGGATCAATGCTTTGGCACGGCTCAAGATTGTCAAGCGATTGTCTTTCAACGGGGCACTTCCAAATGTGAAAATAACCCGCTTCAAGGGCCTATACAAAAAGGAAGTTTGGAAAGAGGGTGTATTACAACACCGTTGGTGGGTCTTGGGTTTACATGTGTCTTCCTTTTCCTCCTTTTCCACCTCCTTTTGCTTCTGTTTCGCCGTTCCGTTTTGTCCTCAATTCCGTTCCCCCACTTCTCACTGTCGCACCCCGAGACCCGTTTTTAAGGCGGGCCGGGCGTTTCGCCTGAGACTCCCTCATCACGTGTGACCCTGAAGCTCAAACATTGGCAACAGTTTCACAAATGGAGGGCGAGTCGTTTTCAAAATGTGGTTCACGAGTTAGCGCCGCGCACATTCGTTCTAACAGTTTGCAAGACATTCGCGGATTGACTGCGGCTCCTTTTCAAAATGTGGCTGTGGCGTTAGCGTCGCGCACACTCGTTTTGAAAATTGCACGAACTTCACGGATTGAAGGCGGCTCCTTTTCAAAATGTGGTTCTCGCCCCAGCCCCGCGCACTTTCGTTGTCAAACTTTGACAATATTTGGGCATATGCTGGGGGAGGGTTTCTTCCAACATCGTTCATGATGCCTGGGTCTACACCGTTTGGCCTTCTTCTCCTCCGCCTCGCCCCGCACTGTTCCAAGCTGTTCCCCCAAAAGTGACAGCTAAAAGAGCACACCATCACGTAATCTAGCACATTGGCGAAAATCAAACCCACCGTTTTGCCACAAAGGCGTTTCCACAACTGCACGGGCCGGCGGCGACTCGCCGCAAGCGTCCTCCATGCTTCCCCCGCCTCCCGACACTTCATCTGGGCAGCGCAGTTCCTGCGCAAGCCTGTGGGGATGCGCAACACACAAACACACATGCCCCAAGCAGCAGCAGGAGCCAAGCGCCTCGACGGCGCATCGGCAGAGAAGATGCCGTGCAAATGTGCACTGGCAAAGCGGTGAAGACTCCCGGCGCACGTATCCAAGCGCAGCTGCCGTGCAGATGTGCACTGGCATGGCTTTGGCCGCTGAGTTTTCCCACGCGGCGTGGCCACGCACGACGGCGACAACGACAACGACGACGACAAAGAGGGGGGGGGGGAGGACGGAGCGAGGGAGGCGAGGAAGACGACACGGGAGGCCGGAAGAGAGGCACGGGAAGGAAGGGAAGGGAGGGGACATCGAAAACAACATGCGCGAGGCCTGGCATCACTGCCAAGGCAGGGCAGAAGTGCGTAGACGCAGGGTGCCCATTGCTGTTTGGGCCTCCCGCGCGCGCGGTTCTCATCCCAGACTCTTGGCGCCACAGAGTTGGGATTGCACGTTAGCTTGCGTAGTGGGGGATCTTGTCGAACCGCCGCAATTGAATTGTTCAGCTTCTTTTGGCACTCGAGAAGGTCCTCGCTCATATCATGCTCTCCCGTCTGCTCCAGCACGATGCGGTTCGACCCTCTCGAGACGTCGGCGCATGGGATGCGGCAGATCTTGCGAAGGCATTGCACGTGGAGCGCATTCAATATGTCCTTGTCGGCCTTGATGGCCCAGACAGATTCCAAGTTGCACAACAGCGTCGGTACCGCAATGGATCGATAGAGTTGGAGCTTCCTTGATCGGGTGATGTTCGCGTGCGACCAGCATTTCTGAAGGGACTTGAAAACTCCTCTAACTTCTCCCAGTCTTCGCGTAACTTCAGGAGTCTTGCTGAGAATACCACCAAGGTGTACTGCTTGCTCAACCTGTCAACGGCTCCCCGCGCGGGTCTCTGAGAAAACCAACATTGCGAATCCTCATGAGGACTGTACTTTTCCAATTCAGCTCTAGCCCGTACCGCTTCCCCTCGTCAGGGGCAGCATCGAGGAGGGTCTGAAACTTGGCCGCACAGCTGCTGGTGAGCATCGTGTCGTCCGCGTAAAGCAACACAGCGCATGGGATGAAGTCCGGCTCCTGCACTGCCGGGTCCTCGCCCACCATCCGCGCGTCGACATCGAAGAACATCACGGTCTGGACTATGATGAACAGATGAGGCGACAATGGGCAACCTTGCGCGATGCCGGCGCGTTGCCTGGGCACGCTGGAGTCCCCGGCCGGGTCCTGGAGGATGAAACTCCGTTCGCGGTAGATGCCGGCAATCATGTCCACCATGCGGCCAGGTATTCCGAATCTCCGCAAAGTTTGCAGCAAGGCATCGTGCTTGATCCTATCGAATGCCTTCGCCCATGTCTAAGAGGACCGCCACGAGACCGGGCGACTTCGAAGCATGGGCTGCCTCGAACATCCGCCTTGCAATCGATATCGCCTGCAACGTGCCTCTCTGCGGTCTGAAGCCAAATTGTGTCTGTCTCAGACTGCTCTGCGCCGCCTCGTTGAAGCCGTCGTCGTAGCATCCAGGCTATAATCTTGTAGCCAAAAGTAAGAAGAGATATCGGCCGATAGTTCTCCGGGAGGCTGCCGTCCCCCTTTTTGAAGAGCAGCGCCACCCGCGCGGTGCGCCACTCGTCCGGTTTCTTTTTTTGTTCCCCAGCACCTCTGGCACAATGACAAAAGGCTTTTCAGTGCCTCTTGCAAACCCAACAGAGTCTTCCATAGTTCTGGATGCACGCCGTCCAGCCCGGGAGCTTTTCCCACGGCGAGGGCTTTCACGGCAGCGGCGAGCTCATCCATGTCGAACGTGTTCGTGTTGATCGGCAACGTGGCGCCCATCTCCTGGGCCCTGGTCGGCGCGAGTTCAGGGTGGGTCACTTTCCAGTGCGAGTGTTCGAAGTAGTCCGCCATCGTGTCTGCGCGCGCACTGCTCTCCACCAAGTGTCCTGCAGCGTCGCGTATCTGAACGGGCTTTCTAGCGGATCCTTGCCCGAGGCCGCGCGCTGCTGCCCAGGTGCCGCCAGCATGTTCGGCGTCCAGCCAGCGCTGCTTGTCGTTCTTCACAGATGCCCTGATGCGCTTTGTAAGGTAGATCTTCTTGTCTGGACTGCCAGTGGCTCTGATTAGATCTCGCTCCATGAGTAGATCAAGCGTGGGTTGGCTTATCCATAGTCATTTGGGCTTCCTGGCCCGTCTGTCTGCCAGCTCACCTGATGCAGACACAATGGCTTGTCGTATGATCTCG